AATATTATATATATATATATATATATATATATATATATATGATTGGTTAAAGCTACATTGATGAATGGAGAAAGAGGCATTTTGATGGTACGATTTCAGCATTGACCAGCAGGGGTCATACTAACTGGGCCATGCTAACCAGCTAAACCTTGACCCCTTGGTCAAGACATAATTCAGCTTTGCTTACTTTTCCCTTCAATGCCTCTTCCGTAACCTTTAGATGTCTCAAGAGAACCCACCCTTAAACCTATCTGGCTAATTTCTCAAAAAATGTGATGAAATGTTGTAGGATCAGTGCCCTAACCTTTGTTTACTCGTATGAAAGTCACACTTTGCTTGAGCTGTCAAGATGGCCAATTTAAGCAGTCTACTTGCACTGCTGGCCCTTGTTTTAATTTTAGGCTAAAACAGCATCCTTCACCGCTTGAGTCATGCAGGCTGTCCTCCTAGTCATCATTAGTTTAGCGTGATTTGAGGGAAAGGGAGCCGGAGAAAAGAAACTGTCTCAAAGGCGCAAAGAGTGAAGCTTTTAATCAGGTGGAACTGGGACCGCTACAGGTCAGTGCTGTGTCACTTCCCAACAAACAAGAAAAGGCACCGAAATTGACTTCTAATAAAACAAGAGCAGTGGGATGAAAAAAAGAGGGCTGAGAGGGAGAGCAAATGGAAGAGAAAGAGGTTAATCTAATTTAAATGATAGTAGCTCAGAAAATAGCCTCAGGATTCTACATCAAGCTTAACTAATGTGCAATTAAGCTTTAGACTGGGAGAAAATCACCTTGTAAAAATATTTGTCATGTGAGCCGTTTCTCTGGTCTCTGCACTAATTAACAAGGGAATGTAGCAGAGTTTGTTTGTACTTCTATTTACACATAACTACAAGCACAACAAACATATACTTCATGTGATTATATTACCCAAAGATGCTTTCTAGATATCAATTAGATCAAACTGACATACAATCGCTATCATTAAGCAATAATAATTTACTTAACAGCTCATGAACTGCAGAACTAACAAATTAAGTACACTATTAACAGTTGTATAATTAGTTATATAATGGGTGACGGGGTGGATGCACCACAGTCTACTTTAATATGCCTAGAGGATTGAATACCATGTCAGTCCTTCCTCAGACCAACACCGCAGACAGACTTTAAAGTCATCTTAAAGTCAGATATATTTTTGTACTCCTATTGCTGTACAAATTAAAATGCAACACCACCAGTGCCTGCAGAAAAGGGCTTTTTTTTTCAAAGCTAGGGAAGAAATAAGTGTGTTTTACAAGAAGGTACAGCTATAGTCTTTAAGAGAGGTCAAATTAAACATTTTAGCCATGGTCAGCAGTTAGTTCTCTGTTCCCTGCAGAGTAAGAGTGAAATGATCCAAGCCAATAGCATAAAGCAGAGACTCCAGCTTTATCTTGTTCCGGCTGTGGGAAGGAGACTTAGGATGCCTGTATGCGCAATAAACTGACAAACAGAAATGTGTTTGGAGGGTAGAAAAGAATTGGGTCAGTTTCAATCAAGCCAAATGAGCTTCTGAAAGCACAACTGAAGTATCAATACTTTCCCCTTGAACCCCACATACAAATATTGATCCTAAGTGTTTTGTTAAACTAGTCGTTTTATTATTTTTTCACACAAAAAAAATCAATGCATAAAATAGGCTTTGAAGTGAAAATATGAACTATATTAGCAAGTTGTGTAAAATAGAATCTATTTCTCATCTTACCATACGCAGAACTGCTGAAAGACACAAGGAGCCAGTTGCAAACCGCACCATGAGTGACACTTCACTCATGACGTTAATTTAAACGGAGACTGCAGCACTAACCAGAGGCTGTGACAAAGACACATCATTCACATTAAAGTTAAAACGTAAATGTGGTTATTTATTATAATGGCTTTATGTGATGATAGTTTAATGAGTCCGATTATTTAACCGTTGAAACTGATTGTATAATTGTAGTTAAAAACAGAAGTCTGATCATTTGCAGTTTAGCAAATTGCTGAACGGCTATAATAACTTATTTTTATCCTCAGATACACTCTTAAAAATAAAGGTGCTTCACGATACCATAGAATAACCTTTTTGTCTAAATTGTTCCATAAAGAACCTTTAACATCTGAAGAACCTGTCTGTTTCATAAAAGGCTCTTTGTGGTGAAAGAAGGTTCTTCAGATTATAAAAAAGTAAGAAAGAGATGGTTCTTTAAAGAATTTTTGACTGAATGGTTCTTCTATGGCATTGCTGTGAAGAACCTTTTAAAGCACCTTTATTTTTAAGAGTATGTCATTAAAAATGTGTAATAGAAGGTATCAGCATGCAAGATAACTTCCAAATTTGGCTTCAGTGGCCATCTGACCTCTGGTGCAATGCAGTGTATGGAAATTGTGAGAAGATTTAGCACAAAATTAAATCTTGGGGAAGCAATATCGATACCGTCCAAGTATTGAAAGCTTCTGGAACTCATTTCTATGTTTTAATATACTAAAGTGTAATGATTAATTAAATTAAATTCAATTCAAGTTTATTTATATAGCGCTTTTCACGATACAAATCATTGCAAAGCAACTTTACAGCAAATTAAGTTTCTACAATATTTAGTGGTAGCTTATCAGTGGTGACTGTCAGTTAATGTACATATGGCAGAAATGTACGGAAACATAAATTAAAGACGTAATCAATTAAAGATGTAATCAAACAGACGATGAACACTATTAACAGCAATTATTATATCATGCAATCAAACTTATAGCAAAATGTGGTAGTTCAATATGTTGTTTCAGGGTTGGCATCATCTGAGGTCCTCTGAGGGGTTGGCATCATCTCTTCTCAGGTGTTCTGGATCCAGACTGAAGCTTGGGCAGTTTTTTGAGATTTGACTTACTAGTCATATGGAGCGTAGCTTCCTGGAGATGTTGTCCGACATGAGTTCCGCTCCGACTCTGCTGGGGTGAAGGCCATCAGCGCGAAAAAGCCTAGGACACTCCCAGAAAAGATTCCAATTATTAACAAAGAGCAGTTTCTGTTCTTTACACCATGACAATAACCATTCATTTAAAGCAAAAAGTCTACTGAACCTTCCATGTCCTCGTCGATACATGGGAAGCGGTCCTGACATGATGATCGTCGTCGCGGGCAATGTGCTGCGCACCGTCTCGATCAGGCTCCTGAAGTCCCTTTTTCAGTGTCTCCGTCTGCTGCAGCTTGGTGTCGTTAACCCCGGCGTGAAGCACGACCGCTCCTCCGGGGCTCTCCAGCTGGGCCTGCCTCTTCACCAGGTCGCGGATCTGCTTCTCCATGGCCTCCAGCTCGAGCTGCACCGAATGCAGCTTGAACGTGTCCTCACCTGTACTGAAAGGTAGACACACATCCGCCATTAAAGCAAGTAAAAGTAAGTAAAACAATGGTAATGTGTGTGAATAGAGTATTAGCAATGTAAGCGAGATTAGCGGCAACCACGCTGGCGATGCTAACGGGCTATATGCTAATAGCGGACTCGGGAAATCAAAATAAAACTAGTGATAACAAGGCGCTCTGATTGTTTTTGTTGTAGAATACGATAGGGGATATATTCACACATTATAGAAACGAAAATGATGGTGTATAAAATTGATTTTAAGATAAAAAATAGACGATAAAGAATTAACTTGACGGAGCTCAAACTCAAAACACACGGCAGCAACAATGATTAGTATTATATAATAATATATATAATATTAAATAGCTGTGATTGACTGGTATTAGAAATATTGGCAATACTGTCCTTCACAGTATCCAGATAAACATGGTATGATCAGAAGATCATCCATCCCTATCTATGACCCAGTATAAATTATTTTGTGTAGGCATTAAAATGTACATTCTTTTTGCAGGTGAGTGAGACAGGTGAAGTGGATATGCAGATGGTGGACTCTCAGATATGGATCCCTGCTGAAGAACCAGTCTCCAACAAAACATTCCTGTTGAATTCCAAGATCTGGGAGATTTGCCAAGATCTGCCCATCCACTGGATCCACCCATCTCCTCTCAGAGGTTACAAACAGGGCTTCACCGCCTCGAAATCCAATTCAACCCTAGTAATAAGGTTTCAGAATAGCCTAAGAGTCAAGTCTGTAATTTATTTTGCTCTCCACTGTTTGCTTGTACTTTTCTTCAATAGGAAGGCAAAAATAAAAATAAAAAAACACTGAATTTTATGGTTAAAGCTCTAGAAATGTCCTAAGCAATCACTGATCAACTAATCAAGGACACAATACTCCATGTTTGAAGAGCATTTTTGCCACAAACCAACTTCTGTTTTTCCAAATAAGGGCATTATAGTACTGGAGGTCTTTATGTTCTTAAGGAAGATCAAAGAGGCCTTTCATGATATCAGTTTTTTAGTAGCAAGCGTTACCGTCTTTCCTTCTGTGACGCAGATGCTGAATTCCACGATGTAGAGGACGTGGAGGAGACCCCAGAGCTGGAGGCGAGAGGTCCACGTCAGGCCCGGGACGTCATGGACCAGTTACCAGTGAACGACTATGTAAGTATGAGCCCCAGGTTCATTACTAAAAGAGGTGTTCAGGCTGCGGGTGAGTCGGATAGTCATGCTTTCTTTCTTGGTATAAATCGTTCATTAATCGAAGTTCCCTTTCCGAACTTAAAACAGACCATGTGAACCACAGGGTATTGAAATTGCTCTATATATCTGCTTAAATCAGGCCAGTTCACTTAAGACTCCCTTAATGTCTTACAGCTAATGGTAAGGGATATTTAGCCTTCAAAAGAAGCAAGTTTGCCTTGCACAATTTTTCCTTGCCTTTCTTATGTAGTTAGTGATGTACAAAGACAGCCTCCCAAGGTCACTCATTAATGAATAGATAAATGTATTAGTCATGCTTTAATTATCAAGGCATGGAGAATCAAGCGGCCAAAGAGTGTCCTTTATTGCATCCATGAACTGAAGCATATGTTCAATGATTAATTATCCTAAGGCTGCACGCACTAATGCTTCGCACACCTACGATATACACCTCCCCAACTAGCGTGCGACTTCTAGCCTCCAAGCACGAGGATGAGAAGACGGTGGAGGAAAAAAGGCACATTTATCTGCAGAGGCCCAGGAACGTCTTGCCTGCCCACCTCATCCAGCAACATGGGCCGCAACGTAGTGTATAATTAAAGCAGACCCAGATGAAACCACCTTTCCCTTTTGAAATCCTCTCCTTCTATCAGCTGGTTAATACACACCGATCCAGCCAATTCCAAGGCTAAGCACAGGCAGGCTGTGTTTGTGGGCAGAGCGATAACAAAGACTTTTGTGAACGTCAGAGGGTATGTGGCTCCCGGTAATTGGAGTCTGGAGTCATGTAGATGCTGCTGGGAAGCCAGATATCCCCAACCTTTCAGAGGATCCTAGATGCAAGCCCTTCTTTAGCTCTCCCACCGGCAGACGTCTGCAGCTGGAGGAGGGAATTCATATTTTGCTACAGGTCTCTTCCTGTTGTGCACTTTTTATAAATAATCATCAAAGTTCCTGTGACAGAAGGCCTGAGATATACGAGACTGACCTTTCTCCAGTCCTGCCACGCTGATGCGTTGTGTGCCAGCACAGCTCTGGATATCTTTCAAACTGAATAACTATCATCTGGCTGTGCTGAGAAATTGCATCATGGTCCTTGACCTACATTGGAAGGATAAGCCTCTGATGATTGGGTCCCATCAAATCTCAGATGCGTGTGCCTGCCGCAGTTGTTGATGGTAGGCATCGTGACCCCGCGTCTTAGCTGAAAGCATTCTGGCTTGCATATCACTGATTGAACCTGCCTCCCCGCGTCCATCTGAAGTTAAGATGCTCTGTCCGGTCAAGGACCCGATGAAGATGAATTCACGTTAAACTTAGGATACCAAAATGAAACAAATGCTTCGTTTCAAGTTTCTTGTTCAATCTGCCATTTAAAACAAAAACTGTAAAATGAACATGATAATACATACAGCACAGTTTCTTTTTAAGGAAATAAAATAAATAACAGACATATGTGTAATGATGAGGTTCAGCAATTTTGGGGGATGGCAGAAATATGTGCCCTACATGCATATATAAAAAAAACACAGCCTATATTATTCTAAAACTACACTACCTTTCGAGAGTTTGGAGGCGGTAAGTCTCGTGCTTGCCAAGGCTGAATTTATGTGATCAAAATTGTGAATACAGTGTCACATGATCCTTCAGAAATTATTCCAATATTCAAAATTATTATCAATGTTAAAAACTGTTGTGCTGCTTAATATTTTTGTGACAACGGTGATACATTCTTTGACAAATATAAAGTACAGCATTTATATAATATAAAGAACAGCATTTATTTGAAAAAGAAAACGTTTGTTTAATGTCAACTTTCCTGAATACAGTATTACTGTCTAAAACAAAAAATAAATAAATCTTACTGACCCCGAACTTTTGAACAATCAAAACACACAGAAAATGCAAATCTGCAGTCATTTAATAAAACAACTTTCTTCACTTGAGCGTAATCTTCCCAGCATTCCTCCGCAGGTGTTCGCATTAACATTTCGATGAATGTTAATTAAATTCCACCATACAATGAATGCAAATGCTATACATTTGTTGTAAACAGGATATCTAGATTTGATTCATAAGTAACCTGTAAAAGGGGTCTTTCTCCATCATTTACTGATAAACGTGTCCTCCACAAGAGACATCTTTGTGTTTGTGTGCACTCCGATCAGTTCCAATCTGCTCCAGATGTTCCAATCAGATTTTAGAACAGAACAAAATGAAGCATGTATATGTATGTCAAACTAAATAAAGTGTGCTCAAATAAATAAATAAACAAATAGCGTGTTAAACATATTTAATTATGTTTGAGACGTTAATAAGTTAACTTTGACAGTCCTGAAAAAAATAGTAAATTGATGCATGAAGCATTTTACTCAAAATTTATTTTATAATCAATAAAACTCTTTTGGGAAACAGTGTCTCTCTAGTGTCTTGATTAGCATCAAGATAGTGTGAAGTTTAAAATAATTTATCCCTTCAGTAATCGTGGTTTATGAAGTAAATCCACAGGGTGTCAAGTATCAACTGAGCAGAATCAACTGTATGATGTGCCACACCATAATAAATTAGGAGTTTTCGAACTTCCTCACATTAAGTGCTACTGCATCATGCTTTACGGGCTGTAACACTAAACATAACAGAGAACATGACAGGCTTTGTAAGGCTAATGCAAAACACTACAGTCAGCTATAGGCACCTGTTCTTAATTACTCTTACTAGTTTATGCATGACTGACATCAAAAGAGTACAAGCATCAGCCTGCTTTCTCTTGCACAAGTCTAATCATTAGAAGAATGCAATTTTCCCTCCATTCATCATTGCATAGTGAGCTCATGAAAACTCATACATGCGCCGTTTATGGAGAACATAATGAGAGATGGGACTCCAGAGGAGAAATGCATGTCATTATGCATCTTCGCACGCACATGCACAGGCACATTATAATTCACTGTGCTTCATCTCAAACCCAAAAAGATCAATAGTGATAATAAAATACCTGTTTATACTATACAAACACCACAAATGACCGTTTTTAGATGCCATTTTCATCTGGGCAACACATTTCAAAGTGATTTTCTCCCCTCATGTTCATTTGCATCATTTCCCAACAGGAAGTCTGAAACGTTGCCAGATGACCTGAAGAGATACGGCTTCATCTGCCAATCTAATGCAGATCAGCGGAGATGACTAGGTCCATGACAGTGTTTTTAATCAGACGGATAACGTCACATTGTCTGCGTCGTAAGCTCGGCGAGATCGAAATGCAGTCAAATGAAACAGTGCGAGTCGAGGGTGCTATCTGCTCCAACAGTTACAGGAGATAGAAAGTTAAGTGGCACTTCTCGGAACCCATCTCGTTGTAGCGGCTGATCAAAGGCATGGCACTCAGCCCTGGGTAATCTGGAGAGGGCACGCGTACACGATCACAATGGAGAGGGCCAAGGGCCAAGGGCCATTAATTCTACCCAATTTACCTTTCACTCCGCTATCATTTAGCCCTTACACCAATTCACACCCTGCCTGCGAGAGCAAATAAACCGATCCTTGTTGGGCGATCATTACCCTGCTAATTGCTGTATGAACATGCCATTCGCTTCATGCCAAAGTCAAAGGAGGGCATGAAAGTGCATGGGGGAGGGTTCTCATTTCTGAGCTGAAATGAGACCGGGGTCGCTGCTCGGACTCAGGCGCCAATGCTACGCTTTTATAGGAGTGGGAGGGCTGGGATGAAAGAAATAGTGTAATTATCTCTGTGGCTGCCAGTGTCAAACAGGCAGCGGGGTTAAGGGACTTGAATCAGAGATGCTAAGGCCAAGCGATGCCACCGGCGGCGTAATGGAAAGGTCAAGGGCATTATATCATATCTGATACCCCGGCTTGGCATATCAAAAGCATCTACTTTAAATGCCACTCTGATCCTTGTGACATATCTGAGCATGACAGGGTTTTTTGTCATTGCGTGTCTACACCCCATAATCACTCTTCATTCCCCCTTCAGAGCACTGCACCTTTTTATTGCTAAAATCAAGCCATCAGTCATGCGCCCTGTGGTGAGATTGCAGGTATTGTTTGGCTGCAGTTCTGACCCTGTTGACTCACTCTCTTTGCAGAGAGAAGCGGGGATGGAGCTGGACAACAGCCTAGATGAGCAGGGCTACTGCTGCCAGTACTGTCGTCGGGGGTACCGTTACTGTCGGCGATACTACGAGCCCCTTGGCGGCTTTTGGCCGTATCCCTACTATTACCAGGGAGGACGGGTCATCTGTCAGATTGTCATGCCCTGCAACTGGTGGATAGCAAGAATGCTGGGACGAATTTGAGGATGCCGGTGGGAACCAGTGGTGCTATGCTGCTCAGGGGTACGCGTAGACCAGTTTCATTTGTACGAAATGTCACATATACGCTCAAAACCTTTTCCATTCCTTGTGTAAAAAAAATCTTTTCAAATAAGGCAAAACATTAGCTCATCCTCAGTGACCGCGTCACTGTCATAATTATTTTTTTTTATATTATATATGGGTAAGTTGATGGATAACCATCAACATCAAGATTTTAAGTTAAACTGATTATAAATGCATAAGGGAGTTTAACTTGTGGTACTTCAAATTAATTTTTAATAGTACAAAAATATTCCATCTCAGACTATTTTCAACAGCATTTTGCTTGTAATTATTATGCACGCCATTTTTATGACCATATTAATTTGAAACCACATGGAATATTAGCCTCTCAATTAATATGGTTAAAAAACTGTTATTATACAATTAACTGTTTAAAACAGTGCTAGATGGAGTCTCATGTCAATGGAGGAAGTATTTCATGTCAACTACCCATATATGTACATGGCTGCTTTCTGTAAGACTTATCCTTTTCAATCCTTTTATCTGTCCTTGACCTGATGTTGATACTGTAAGTAGAACAGAAACAGGTGCTTTGGAAATGGTCAGTTACTGTAGTCTACATATTCCATGCAGACCTTTCAAAACAATAGTGTAGGCGAGACATTGTGATTTAATTTGATTTAATTAACAAGGATTTCATTTGATTTTGTTTGTTTGCGCATGAAGTTCTGCATGACATGACTGTTTCCATGGGCCCTTTGTTTGTCATGTTTATAGTGGATGAGAGGCATTATAAGAAACCAGGTTAACAAATAAATTCACAGTAATTTGCATGTTTATATTATTAACTATTGTGTTTAATGTATTTACGCTTAAGCAAGTCCCTGTAGAACTTTGAAAATTAGCTTTTTTAAAAGCTGTTATGTGAATTTAGTGCGGTGTAGGACTACACTGTACACATATCACGCGGCTATATTTAAGTAGTGACATTGCTAGCACCATAATTGCAGGTCTGGGACTGTTTCAATCAATTCTTTCATCCAAGCAAATGCGTGCTCTATAAATTGCATTTACATAATCGAATGCTCTTTTGTGTTTTTCCAGCAACTTCCTTCTGAATAAAACTGGTAAAAGTTTTATAGTCTGCTACTAATTTACTGCTGCATATAAACATGTGCTAAGGGGACCGAAAAAGTGCATTAAATGTATGCCTTCAAATTTCTCAGTTTGTTTTCTTTGGGAAACCAACTCGATGACCTTGACATTATTAGCGTTACGCCCTTCCAGTTCTGCACATGACTCAGCTATATGAAATCTAATAAGACAGACACAGCATATTATTTTAAATTATAATAATGAAAACCTTGAAAGACATTACACTGAAAGCATACAAAATGCATCTATTCCGAGAAACCAACAAAAGAGCAAAACACAGGGCTTTCATCTTGAAACAAAAGATGCCACATCTGTGACAAACAACCATGAAAAGCCACAAAGCATTCCATGGAGGAAGTTAAAACTCACCTTGATGTTTATCTCTTTCGCATCCATGGTCAGTTGTCTAAATGTGATTTTCATCAGCCATATCTTTTCTCAAAACACTTCTTTCTTCTGCAATACTATATTCTAATTCACTGGAAGCCTGGGGTAAATGATCAAAGCACAAACTCAAAATACCCCATAGAAAGCTTATTATATTGGATCCTGTTTCTTTTATCACAATACCTGAAATCACATGAGACACCAGCACTTATCTTGATGCGATACTAGAGGAAGTCACCTCGAACATTAACAGAGCCATCGTATAGCAGGAAAAATATCGATATTACTATAAATATCTATAATATAATAATAATAACATACATACTTAAAAAAAAATTTTTATTCCATTTATCAAATTATTTCTTTTTTTTATTAAAATATTACATTTATTAATTCTGTAACAATAACTGTAATTCTTCATATAACTTAATAGCCTAAATATAAAAATCTACTTACTCATCCTCATGATGTTCAAAACCTTTATGACTTTCTTGGAAAACCAAAGGAGAAGACTGGAAGAACGTCCAAGCTTCTCTTATCTATACACTGAAAAAAAGGGACAAAATGCTCAATAAAACCATCATAAAAATTATGGAAAAACTGAGGAAGAAAAACAAACGTTAGACATAAAAAAAAATCATAACTTTTCTTGACACAGCCACATTTTTCCTTGGGTGCTTTTACTAATAGTTCTAAGCAACATTACAATTAATTTCATTTTAAGAATAATAAAAGACAACGAGCAAGAGTATAGTACAAAGGCATTTATGTCATTGTGAATTCAACCAAGCTGTTTACAATGTCACTGCACCTTATGATATGCCATATCCTTATATACCTTTCATTGCTATTTCTAGTCACGTACCTGCTGGTGTGTTTATATACATGTCAGCTATGACAGATAACATATGTTGTATATTTTATGTATATTAACCTGTTAAGGCTAAGGTAGAGAACCAAATAAACCACACACACACACACACACACACACACAAATACCAGTGAGTCACGCCTTAAAATTGAACGAATTATAGAACATCATGCACATACTGTATACCGACCCAGATCCATACTGAGACGTGTCTAACGATTTCAGATTTAAAACAACCTATTTTCATTTGTGAAAGCTCAGAGCTGCTTGTATTTCATTGCCGAGACGCAGAAAGACTGAGAGTGAGCCTGCAGCAACAGTGACTGCATGAGACTGAGGGCGAAAATTCAGTGAGTCTGGAGCAGAGCAAGGAGGCAGGATGACTGCAGACTGCACAGGTACGCATGTGAATTAATTCCTTTTGTTAGCACATCAAAAGTGCATTGTAATTTGCCTCCAAGCTGTTTGTTTTAGTTCCCAGGTTTTAACCCGCCGGTTCGTGTACGTGGAGCAGGTAGTCTGTGCTTTACAGGCAGACTTTCTGCTTTAAAACAGTACACGATGTACAAGAAGAGAGAACAAATTGCTTGTTAAATGTATTTCACTGAGGTGTGTCACTACTGCCCTCCAGTGGTGCCGGATGGATATGACTATATTATTGCGTATAAGCAAGGAGATCTGCAATACCTAGAGATACCTCTACTTCTTGCTGGATGTTTTACGGCTGGTGTAGGACTCCTTCAAAGTACACGATTTAAAATTTGGCTTTTTTTGCTCATGTTGGCTCATAACTAATATTAAGGTGGCATGTTAAAAGGTAAATGCCGCCTCCACCTGCTCCAGGTACGTCAACAGCGTCGCCATCTTTTAACGGTCAACAGGACACCTGTATGACGGAGATGTTTGAATGCACTGAATTATCCGCTTTTACGTAAAAAGGTTAATCACATAATACATTTACTGCCTTGATGCTAACTTTCAACATGTTTCCCATGACATAATCCTTTTATAGAAAATTTTATGTCGAGTTTGATACGAAAAAATACTGTTTGTAAAAGAATTGTGCGACAGATAGGATTTATTTATGGCACCACGCTCATTTCCATAGCCACCGCAAACAGTTAATGACTGTCGCAAAGCTGCCATATCTATGGTAGGACCACTGATCATCAGTGGGTATGACTCGACAGACCGGCAAAAATAAAATAATCTGACTATCTGGTCAAATGTAAGTTATGTATACTGTATTGTAATTATTTAATCTTAATGTTGCTTTATGACACATTAAAAGATGCTATGTTGACACTGTTTACTAAGATTTAATTACAAATGTAATTTTTAAATACAGTATATATTAGGAATGTCTTTGGATCACTATATTTAATAGTTCAGGCTATATATATATATATATATATATATACATACATACAGTGCCTTGCAAAAATATTCATACCCCTTCATTTTTTTCACATTTTGTTATGTTGCTGCCTTATGTTAAACTGCTTTAAATTACTTTTTTTTCCCATATCAATCTACACTCCATACACCATAATGGTAAAGCAAAAAACTGTTTTTTAACATCTTTGTAAATTTATTAAAAATAAAAAACTTAAATGATTCCATTGCATAAGTATTCATACCCTTAT